TCTTTTGATATCCTATAGTTGGTCGAAAATGAACTGCATTTGTAAAGGGCCTCTAAAGGCTAGGCCAGAGTGTATGTTCGTCAGTACGTGATGAAGCGAGTCCTGCTCACCTAACGAGTATTTGGCTAATCCATATTTACGTCTGTGTCGCATCGACTTGTTTTGACCGAGGACATCTTAGACAGGGTGCCCATCGGTTACATTCAGTTCGAATCGGTTCGGGTTGGGTCGGGTCGGGTAATGGGGCTTACCAGTGTACACTGTATAAAATTGACTTCTAAATAGCTTCATCAGGCTCTGTGCTGAAAGTCCTTTAGGGACTATCGCGTTCCCCACATAAACCACACACACACACACACACACACACACACACACACACACACACACACACACACACACACACACACACAAATAATGTTAAAAAATGATTCCATGATGTGTAGTAGCTATTTGATTGGTTGTTGGCCATAATTACATCGAACTGAGTTGATCGTGATCTAGGCCTAGATAATCTAAGTGCGTCAAATTGGTAGCTTCACCCTAGGCCTATAAAAAAAACCTGACGTAGAACACGACCCAAGGCACTGTCTTCAGGTACCACAGCTTTATGCAAAGATGAAGTGACGAACACATAGTGCGTCTTCTGGACAATTTTTTTCTCGAATCTTAATTTCTTTTCTTTACTGCTTTTTCTTTTTCTCATCAGTGTTTGTTGCCTAGCATGCAAGAGAATCGAGATTTCACTTTTGAAGAGAGGCAGGTTATTGTGTGCATGTGTGTGTGGCGTGTGTGTGTGTGTGTGTGTATGTGTGTGTGTGTGTGTGTGTGTGTGTGTGTGTGTGTGTGTGTGTGTGTGTGTGAGTGTGTGTGCACACGTGGTGAAACACCAAATCAATGTGCCAGGATCTGGATAATAAAGATGTATCTTATCTTATCTTATCTTTCTCCTTATGTCTGCAGTAACCCACTAAGCACGAACTGACCCTGACGTGGCAAGACCTAAGCAACCAACCTACTAAATGTTTTAAACTGTTTGAATGGAGCCCTAAATATTTTCAATTATGTTCGATTTCTTTTTCAAATATTTTCAATAATTTCTTCCCTTCTAACCCCGAGATCATTTGTCTCCACACCCCCCCCCCCTCTCTTCCCTCCCCCCCCTCTCTCTCCTCCTTCTCCCCCCCCTTTCTCCTTTTTCCCTGGCTATATTTTTCTTTTTCATAGAAACTATAATCTCTACTACTTTCCTTTTTTTCTTGAAAGGTAGAACGATATTATAACTCTCCAAAAACTGTCTTCAGAACGAAAAAAAATGTATTCTCATATTTTCTTTGGATTCTTTACAGAACAGCCCCATAGCCAGAAAATGTAATCGAGATCCTGTCTCCTCTATGAGTTTCTGACACAATGAAACCAACGTTTGTACAAAAGTAAAAGTATGATCGAAGCAAAGACCAAACCACTGAATATATAGCTAGAATTGCATTTCTTGTTCCCAGTAGGAGTGAATGTGACAAGATAGATTAACGATTTCGTTATTCCGGCCGCAACTGTGTCTTTCTGCCATACTTTGGACTTAGTAATTACATTTGCATTTCCTACTTGGTCATTCCACGAGCGAACGAAAAGTAAGCCCGCTGTATGAGCTGCTGCCGTGAAATGGATTACTAACAGTATGCTCTTGTAAACAAAATAGTTGTGTACGCCATCTTCGAAAATACCCAACAATCACAGCAATAGCAGCATTACCACCACCACCACCACCATCATCATCATCATCATCATCATCATCATCATCATCATCATCATCATCATCATCATCATCATCATCATCATCACAGCGGAACAGAAAAAGAGGCCTCCTCAAAACCAGGGACTATTACTCTCAAGGATGTTATGACACTTAATGAAGGGACAGCAGAATGCTGGTATCCCCAGTCTTACTCAGATGTGAGGAGTCGTTGACATTGATTCTATAACCAAATCATGTGTAATTGTTCACATAAATATATGCTTCAACAATGAGGTCGTAAGAACCAAAACTGGAAGCACATCGGGCCGTAAGAAAACCTCCCGACTTCAGTGAAAAGACGCAAACTAAAGTCAAGGGCACATCACACGATCATCTGGTCTGGTCAAACCTATACTACAGGGACCAGCACGGGGAGAGATACGAAGAGGCAAACGGGAAAGGATAAGAAGACAATATCAAAGAATGGACTGGCCCTGACCTTAACATCTTAATACGGAAAGATGGGAACCGGGAGAAATTTAAGGATGCTCGTTGCAAATTCAGTAGTGGTGCCCCGACGGTTAGCCATGCTACGGGGTAGGTGAAGGTGAAAGGTGAATATATCTCAACTCCGCAGTAGCTTAACCCCGAAAGAACTCCAGCATAATTATCCTTCAGAGTATGGTCATTGCCAAGCCCAGTCTCAAGGC